TTATTTCCTATTTTTTCTTGTTATTCAGCTGATGCCAATTGCCTTTTCATCCTCGTCAGGTTAGTAATTTGTTATTCCTAGTATGAAACAACCTGAAACAATAAAAAGAATTAGGATCTTATCTAGTTGTTGGCATGTTACTAACTTTTAATATTTTATTAATTAACACTATATTTTTAATTATATTAATTATTTTTTGAACTATATTTAACATTAAAAATATAGTGTCTTGACACTCATCACAATGCCCCTACACGGAAAAGTACTCTCGATGTGCAATTAATTCCTCCCTCTCTGCCTTCCTTGCTTTAGCGAGTTGCTTAAGCGAGGAAGGGGGAGCTTAAGTTGATTTATGATATGTAAGATTATCCACTGAATTACTTGGATAAATTTCAAATCACTCTTAATAATCATCTTTGACACTGAATTTACTATTTTTCCATTTGTTGTCCTTAAGTAGTCTTAACTCTGCCTAAGTGTATATCTTGTTCTTGTGCCGAGTTTAATTTCTTGCTAGTATAATTTGTAATTGCTTTGGTATCTACTGACCTTAAGAAAGGAAAGGTACATATAGTCTACATTCATTTCATACAGCATATAGAATAGGTGATTTCAAATAAGGGCAAAAAGGCTAGACAGTTGAAAAGGAATTGGAATATTAGTGTGAGCTACTGAATTAACTTTTACAATAAGTTGAGGCTGTGATCTTGTACGGTTGCTTTGCTGCAGGATATTATAATAATATGATATTCTAATCGTACAAAGTATAAGATATAGAAAAACAGTTTTTTAAAAAACCGGAAAACACCTATTCATCCCCTTAGGGGGCGTTTGGTTGAGGAAATTTTTTTAGAATAGTAGGGAAATGTAATAGGTAGGGAAATGATTGGAAAGATAGATAAAGTGAGATAGGTAGAAAAATGTAAAAAAAAAAGTTGTTTGCTGGGGAAAAACTTTACTGGGAAAATTAGGTAACTTTATGAAATCAACAGTGCATTAAAAGCCAGATAACCGGTTTTCCGAAAAATCCCACCTTCAAATTGGGTTTCTGAACAGTGCGGATATCTATGTTTCTCATAAATCCAGACAAATTGGATAGATGGATTTTTGGTGAAAATACGTTGAAACAAACATAGTGTTTCTAAAAATCATACTTGAAAAACATAGATATCCGCTGAAAAGCTCCCAACCAAACACCACCTTAAATTGTTTTCTAGCATCCTTTCTTTCATAAGCCAGTTGCCAAACATTATGCGGCAAAAAAAATTAAAATATTATTATTTTATAAATAATTACGAATATACAACTGTTTTAAAATCATTCATAAGCTTCCAAAAAATTCAGCTATAAAGACTCAACCATTATTTTGTATCAGAGACCTTTTCTTCTGAAATTTTCTCTGTTGCTCAATTGTTTTCGTTTCGGTGGTTCAACGATGTCAATCTCGTGCAAAACCATAATTTGGCAGTAATTTTATATTTAAAATCTTATTAGAAACACGTTTCTTAATTTGTCGTGACAACTAATTTAATGATAATTTTGGCCTGTTAACGAAGTAATGACTAATTTATGAGTTAGCTTAATTCATTTCTAGTCCTACCTAAGTGCCTATATATCTTTTTTATAATGGTCTTTCTACTAAACAAATTAATTAATATGCTATAATATAATAAGTTTAAATATACTATAGATAACTACTAAGGCACGCCTGTCATTTACGCAAATAAAACACGGTTACTGTCTAAGCAAATTGCGACCTTCAGCTATATAAATGATGGAAGTTTCCAAAAAAAAAAAAAGCTATACAAAAGCTATACAAATGAAGCTTCTAGAATCCTTAATTTCAGAAAAAGAGCTAATGCCTCAAACGAGGCCAAGAAAGCCACATAAAAATAGTAATATGTTTGCTTGGAACTTTGATACAAATTTTTTCATTTCTGATTTTTATCCCATAGAAAGAGAATTAGATGCTGGAGGAATATTCCTCTATTGGTCAAAATGGAAATTTGGGCAATTTGGCAGAAACTTGATTAATTTTAATCCTAAACTAAAATGTAATTTCTATGATACTCTCTAGTAAAATCCCTGTTTATCGTGTACTAAACTTAATTAATTAAAATATTTGTTTGAGTTTAAAGTAAAGTCATTTTTTTTCCTATTTTCTCTTCTCTTCTCAGTCCCACGTGTATTCAGAATTTCTTAAATCGCCCTTCCATTTTTTTCTTTGTCTTTTTTTATTTTTCTCTCAAATCTATCGTTCAAATAAAATGTTATTATAAACTTCCTAAATACCACTCAAATAATTTAGGCATGACTCCTAAGCATTTACGCCTAAATTAGGCGTGACTCGTCTGGTGTTGACACGTGGCACAAAAAAGTCAACTTACGAACCGTAAAATTTTGGAAAGTCATAACTTTTGACTCAGGTATTCAAATCAAGTAAAAAAAAATTTGATTCCACAAAAATTTTCTTAATCTACGCAATGACACTTCATTTAATATATTTTATCTCTCACAAAAACAATTCAAATTTGCAATAATAATATTTTAAGAGCATTTAGTTTGTGATTTAATATAAAAAAATAAATAAAGATTTGATTTGTGAGTTAAATTAAAAAAAGAGTAAACACTCTTTTTAGTCCCTGGCAATATCTACGAAGTCCTTTTCAGTCCCTGGCAATGAAAAATGACCAAATTGGTGCCTGAAAGTACAAGAAAAGGGCCACTCTACATATTTGGGAGTTGACATAAGGACTAACATGGCCCCTTTTTTGTAATTTCAGGGACCAATTTGGTCCTTTTTTATTGCCAGGGACTAAAAAGGACTTCGTAGATATTGACAGTGACTAAAAATGGTGTTTACTCTTAAGAAAATTATTATTAATAAGAAAAATAAAATAAAGATTTGATTTGTGATTTAAACTCAAAAATCAATTTGAAATATCTGTATTAATAAAAGAAATAATTAAATAAATATTCTAAATCTCTATGGAAGAAGAATTTTATTTTTGAAAACCATTCAAAAGCTTCCAACAAATCCAGCCATAAAGACTCAACCATTGTTTTTTTTTTTTTTTTTGATAACACTCAACCATTGTTTTGTATCAAAGACCTCTTCTTCTGAAATTTTCTATGCTGCTCAATTGTTTTCGTTTCGGTGGTTCAACGATGTCAATCACGTGCATACAACGTGCAAAACTATAATTTGGCAGTAATTTTATATTTAAAATCTTATTAGAAACACGTTTCTTAATTTGTCGTGACAACTAATTTAATGATAATTTTGCCCTGTTAATGAAGTAATGACTAATTTATGAGTTAACTTAATTCATTTTTAGTCCTACCTAAGTGCCTATATATCTTTTTTATAATTGTCTTTCTACTAAACAAATTAATTAGAGTAAATATCTTTTTTGGTCCTCAACAAATTTCACGATGCCCGTTTTAGTTCCTAACAAATAAAAAGGCCCTTCGTGGTCCCTAAGAAATTCAAAATGGACCCATTTAGTTGAAATCGTGGTACCTCACAAATTCAAAAAGATATTAGTCCCTAAAATGACTAAAATGGATCCATTTTGAATTTATTAGGGATCACGATGGGCCTTTTTATTTGTTAGGGACTAAAGCGAGTATCGTAAAATTTGTTGAGTACCAAAAAGAATATTTACTCAATTAATTAATATGCTATAATATAATAAGTTTAAATATACTATAGATAACTACTAAGGCGCGTCTGTCATTTATGCAAATAAAACAAGGTTACTGTCGAAGCAAATTGCGACCTTCAGCTATATAAATGATGGAAGTTTCCAAAAAAAAAAAAAAAAAAAGCTATACAAATGAAGCTTCTAGAATCTTTAATTTCAGAAAAAGAGCTAATGCCTCAAACGAGACCAAGAAAGCCACATAAAATAGCAATATGTTTGCTTGGAACTTTGATACAAATTTTTTCATTTCTGATTTTTATATATCCTATAGCAAGAGACTTAGATGCTGGAGGAATTTCCCTCTACTGGTCAAAATGGAAATTTGGACACCTTGGCAGAAACTTGATTAATTTTAATCCTAAACTAAAATGTAATTTTTGTGTTACTCTCGAGTAAAATCCCTGTTTATCATGTATTAAATTTAATTAATTAAAATATTTGTTTGAGTTTAAAGTAAAGTCCATTTTCTGTTTCTTATTTTCTCTTCTCAGTCCCACATGTATTCAGAATTTCTTAAATTGCCCTTCCGTTTTTTTTTTCTTCTCTTTTTCCCTTTTCTCTCAAATCTCCCGTTCAAATAAAATGTTATTATAAACTTTCTAAATATCACTCAAATAAATCTTCTCCTAAACTTTAACGGTCTATTATAAATAAGAGTTTTACTTCTGTCATATAATGTGAGAGAAATTGTCTTATATTACGAGATAAATAAAAAAGTAAATACTCTTTTTGGTCCCAGGCAATATCCACGAACCCCTTATTGGTCCCTAGCAATAAAAAAAGGACATAGTGGTCCCTTAAATTACAAAAAACAAGTCACGTTAGTCCTTCTGTTAAATCTCATCTAACAGCCCAACTAACGGTGCGCACTTGGCACGTTAGTTTGCTGACGCGAATTTGAGTGGTCCACTGTGGATTTCCAACGCCCTTATTGGTCCCTGACAAAAACCATGGGGCCTTTTTTGGTCCCTAACTAAAGAAAAACAAGGACAATAAATCAAGGTATTTGTAGTTCCACAATAACTCAATATGTCTCATCCTCATTTTATTATTGCAAATATACCATGTTACATCTAGTAAAATATCACATGAGACTCAAACCTTACAAACTTGTAATTGAGGACATACCAGAGATTCTTTGGAATTATAGTGACACTTTCTGCATAACAGAGAAATGCTTGCACGAAAGTAGTGTACCTAACTATCATGCGCTAATGATGAGATTAAATTAGTACACCCAAGTTGAAACCACTACGATTATCCAAGTATTTCTAGCAGACATAGGATCCTCCTCTAAGCATGCTTGGCCTGGAAATCCTTCATGAGAGCCACCAACTTCTCAACCCCACCCAAAGGCATAGCATTGTAAATGGAAGCTCTCATATCTCCCACCGACCTATGTCCCTTAAGCTGAACCATCTTTTCCTTAGCAGCCTCCTTAATGAACTCAGCCCCCAATTCTGGTTTCACCAAAGTAAATGGCACATTCATCAAAGACCTCACTGACTTCTCAACCGGGCATCTAAAAAAGCCATTGCTTTCATCAATGGCATTGTAGAGAATCTCAGCTTTCTTCTTGTTCTTCTTCTCAACCTCTTTCAAACCACCTTGTTCCAAAAGGTCCTCAAACACCAAACCACACATGTAAATACAATAGCAAGGAGGGGTATTGTAAAGTGAATTGTTCTCATCATGTATCTTGAAATCAAGCATCACATGAGTCTCATTTCCAGAGGGCCCCACATTCTTCTGGGCCCTAGCATAGATCACCCCAAATTTGGACACATTAACAGGCTTGGAACAAAAATTTGAAGACATATCAGCAACCAAAATGCCACTTGCATTTTTGGGTGTTGGGTAATCCTTAAACTCAACACCATGAATAGTCTCATTTGCACATATATGCAAATACCTAGCATCAGGGTTTTGCTCCAATGAATCAAAAGATAGAATCTTTGTGTACTTTTCAGATTTCCCAGACCAGATCACCTTTGGTTTACAGTATTTCTGTACCTCCTTGGTTTACATATATGCAAATAGCTAGCATCTGGGTCTCATTGCTCGTTGTCACCCTCTTCTTCTTACCGTCGCCACTGCAAAAGCAGAGAGTGGGAGCAGCAAAATACAACGCTAAGCTTCCCCATTTCTGCGAAAAAATTCACTTTCTGTTCAAATCCAAACCCTAACCTGGCCAATTTTGTGACCCACATTTCAATTTTCCTCTGAAGCACCATCTTCATCGTCATTGACCACACATTATGTGAAATGGACGCTAGTGCTAGGGCTTCCGATTTGTCCAACGGAGACTATGGTATGGAGACTCCGTCAAAAGCTTTGGTCATTCACAACAGGGTACCTCAACGACGTGGGAGAGAAGAAGCAAATTGTGAAAGTGGGGGAAGGTCTTAGCGTTGTAATCTCCAGATAAACTTCAAGTGGTAGAGAAGAAGAAGAAAAAAACTGAAGGTACCTCAACGACGTCGTTTTTGGTCCTACGTGGAATGTGAGTCAGCCACTTAACAGTACACGTCAGACACGTTAGTGACGCCGTCATAACTCAACTAACAGAAGAACTAACGTGACACTATTTTTCTAAAATTAAGGATCAAAATGAGCCTTTTTTATTGTTGAGACTAAAAGGGACTTCGTGAATATTGTCAGGGACAAAAATGGTATTTACTCTAAATAAAATAGAATTCATCAAATTTTTTCTTAAAAAAAGACATATTTTATATAAGTATAACATGAAAATATAATTTTTCTATAAATGAATAAAAATTGTTATTTCCGCATAATTTTTTTTTTCTGGCGGTAACAACTGTGGACCAACAAATGCATTCCAAAAATCAGCTGTCATGTCAAAGACTCAAAGATTGCATTTCAAAATCTGAGTGGCATTGCCAATAAACGAGGTGTTCCGGTTCAATTACTAATTCTATAGTTATTAAACTCGACTTAGACATCAACTTGTTTGGGGTATTGGATCATTGGTCGAATCGGTGGATCAATAATCAGATCGGTTGATTCGAATATATAAAAATATATATAAATATGAAGAGTATACTAACAAATAAAATTACAAAAAAATTTTTTGACAAGATGAAACAATTTTAGTTTTTTGGATTTTTTTTAACTGCGTGACTGGACCGGGTTATCGGGTCACCGGTTTTGGCTAGTTTTGATCAGGTTTGGCCAATTTTGTCTGAGTTTGATTGGATTTTGACCGGATTTAATCAGATCTGATGCATGATCGATCCAATGCTTGTCTCGAACTGATACAATTTACAATTCATCGAATTTTGGGTCAATCCGATAGTATGAGGTCGAGTTTTACAACAGTGTGTAATTCTAGCCCAATGGGCTCTCATGTGAGGGGGCGTGTTGAGATATATAGTCCCACATTGGTTGTATGTGCAACTAATGTGGCCTTTATAAGGTCTTAGGCACTCTCATTCTTTGAACTAACTTTTGAGATGGTGTATCTCAAGGTTATTTACAATTTGCATTATTAAATTTAATGAATTGAGTCTCGGATTGACAACTGCAACATCACCTGTCCTTTGCAACTCTGAACACACAGAATCACATCCACCCGAATAATAATTAATCATTAGGTTACACGTGTGCTAAATTCTTTGTTGCCAAGGAGAAGATTTATCATTTTCATTTTTCAGGTTGAGTGATACTTGACCATCAGATACCTAACTAACGTCTTATTCTGTCCTTGAGACAGAGATGTCTAGCCTAGTCAGGCTAGTACGTTAATATTGGATCTGATGCCCTCTCCAAGGTATCTATGAGGGAGATACCCTTGAGTCAAGGAGATCACTGTGCACAGAATACTATAATGGCGTTAGCCAATGGGGTGTGTGTGTGCACAGTGACAGCATAACAATAAGAGAGAGAATGTGTGTACCTCTAGGGTTTGCCCTGGTATTTATAGAGGTTACCTGTAGATAGTCTGGATAGCTATGCTGACACAGTAAGATTAGTAGGATTTGATTAACATCAATCCATATATTGGATTTTCCCTTGTTGGGCTTACCACTTAATGGGCCCATCATATGGGTCCATAACAGTTGCCCCTCAGTCGGGCTACCTGGGTATCCGGGTAGTCGGGATGAACCTATGAGTGCCTTTTTCCCAGTTATTAACTCCCGAATGTGTTTACGCTTTTGTAGACTTGTATGCTCTTCTGACGAGCGAATTCTTTTTTCTCACGGGATGTTCTTTGCCCCCCTTATGCCGACAGGTTGAGTATCAACCCGGTGGAATATTTTGGGTACCCTGCAATGTTTGAACCAGGTAATATGCTGATCTGTCGGGTTGCCTCCCAATGTCGGCAGACATGTTGCTTTCAGGTTCTCATCTTCCCTATGTGCAGCGTCGTTTTTCCTCGTTTTGCCTTGCTGGTTGAGCATCAACCATATTGCTATTCTGAGTTAGGAATACGCTTGAGTTGTTTGATCCTACTTGCGGATTGCCCCCAAGCGGTATTCCTCATCTCAGAATGCATCTGCATATTGATTTGGTCAACGGTGGTGCATGATCCCGTCGGTATTTTCATGAAGAACCCGCGTCGGCATTGTACCCGGGTTACGAGGGCATGTATGTATGCCTATTGCTTCCTTGTGTAGCCGGGTAGAAGCTGTGCTGAAATAACCTTGAGTTGATTATTACCTCAGCATCAGCTCCGAACTCGGTGAACAACTGTATGTTCATATACATCTTGTCTCATATGTAGGTTTGCGAACTATGATCATTGCGTTGTGCCACGTGTTCCAGCCCTCGTACTATAGCGTGTTGCGGCCATTCCTATGCTGTCATTGCGTTTCGTGCGCATTTATTGCAGCATCGCTTCAGCTGTCTAATCATCAAAATTTTATTTTTATATGTATATAAATATATATTTTTGTGTGTGAAGTGGCAGTTTTGCCCTTGCCCTTTAGCCTCCTCTGCGCTGTGATTTTCGCGCATGATGATTGCGGTTTCCATCCACGATCGTGGCAGTTATAAGTTGAGGGTGAAAGTACTTAAATAACCCTGACCTTTCCTATTCACACTTCAGTAGTCGTTTTCTTGGCTATATAAGCCATCTTCCCCTCTCACCTGCTTTTGTTTAGCTTTTGAGCATCGTGCACCAGCATTAGTTGTTTGTTTTCGTGTGCATGTTTTCTGAGTTTTGTGCCCCATTTCTGCTTTGGTTCTTCGTCTTCCTTCAACAGGTATTTGCACATATTTGTAGTTTTTTGTCGATTCTGTTGTGTGAGTCTACACTTGAACATTTTGTCTTACTAGTAAGTTTTTTTTTTTTTTGAAGATGTATATGTTGCATCGTCGATTTTTGCTTTTTTTCCAGAACCTGTAAAAAAACTTTCATAGGGTCATATTTGCAGAAGTTGTATGTTCCCTCCTGTCGTGCGGATGATCATCATCTTGCTCTTCTCCTCCTCCTTTTGCTATTTGACATTTAGTATTTTTCAATTTTTGACCAAATGAGGAGAAAAAACCATGTTTCTTCAGCTTTGTGTTTTAAAGGGCAGAGGGAGGAAAACCCTGATTTTTTCAAAAAGATTCCTCCAGGTGCTCGTTTTTGGCTTTGGGGGATTCCCAAGACTAAAGAAGAAGAGCAAGAAGCTATGCTTCGAGGCTGCCGTGGTGGTAGATCTCGGCGAAGGGCCGAGGTGTCGAATAGGGAGTTAGGGTCTCAGCGGGGTAAAGGTTGTTCTTCCCGGAGTAAGTGCCTCAGAAAAAGTAGTCCTTCAGTTCCATGTTCTCTACCCATGACCACCTCAGGTTCACGTTCCAACATCCCTGCTTTGCCCTATCCTTCCTCTGTCTCAGGAGGTGTCCCATGTTATTCTTGCGTCTACCTGAGTTCTAAGCTTGTCGAGCAAGGATGTGACTCGTTGGCCGAGTCCACTTTGGAAAGTTGCCGGCATGGAATTTTTGTTGGATCGATGCCGGCATCTGGTGGGGCCAATGATTCGATTACTCTTTCCGACGTGCCCAGCTCTTCATCTTCTAGTGACTCATCGTCTGCTAGTATTTTTTATGCAGGTATAACCATTCTTTCCTTCTGATTTAAAATTTCTTGTTTTTCTAGGCATATATGGCATCTCCCCCTCGAGAGGTAGTAGAGGAATCCGCTTCTGCCGAGTCACATTGTGGGCCTCCGCCATCCTCATTGACATCCCAGTTTCCCTGGGTGACTCATGAGGTTTTGAATACCACGTCCGAGATTTCTGCGGAAGACGTGTCTAGACTTTCAGTCGGGTTGGTTGAAAACTTTGACATTGTAGCCCATGTAGAAGACGAACCCGTATGTTCTGGTGGAACTGAAGAGGGTCCTTGCTTCTTTTTCTTCTACCGAGATTTCATTACTCAACTTGGAATCCGATTTTCGTTGACCGAATTCAAATAGAGATACTCAATCATCTTCACATATGCCCTACACAACTCCATCCCAACGGGTGGGGTTTCGTTAAGGCCTTTGAGCGGTTTTGTGCCTACCTTGTTCTTCGCCCTTCCGTTATGGTTTTCTTTTTCTTCTTTCAAGTCATCTCTTGCCGAACTGGTCGCGAACCACCAGAACTGAAAGGTTGGATTACTGTCCGAGGTGTTCCTGGCCGTAGACTCTTTAAGGTCTATACAGAGTCCTTTAAGGGTTTTAAAAACAAGTTCTTTAAGGTGTGCACGCATCCCGGTAAGGAGGTATGGTTTCTCCAATGCTGTGGCACGAAGGAGGTAGAGGGAAAATTTCCCTTGTATTGGTCACCCGATCATTTTCATTTTCCTCCTTCCAGCTACCGCTTTAAAGAATCCCAGTTAGACTGCAATGATATTAATACCGTGATCGCCATCGGTACATATCTTCAGACGCATCAACATGCTAGCGTTGTGTCTCTTATTTATAAATCTCAAGAGGAGCTTGATGCCGAATTAAGTATGTCTGATTGCTATATTGAAATGCTTTATACTCCGCTTAACAGCTGATTTCATTATTTTGCTTTATTTTGCTTTTCAGTTCCCCAAATGGAAAAGCAACCAAACACTCCTCCAAGTTGGTTGGCCGTTTTGACCAAAGGAAAGAACGAGTCTACCTCTGGGTTGTTGCAGAAGAATATTTCCCCTGGGGTGGGGA